GGTATCTTGTAGCCTACTGCACTTTTTTCTTTGGGAACAATGTCAGTTCTCACCTCTGAAGGTTCCTCTGGGGATTCACAGAAGCTGCTAAGTGAAGGGCTTGGCATGGATAGCGCCCAGTGTGATGACTGGTTCTGCTTGTGATCTAATTACCTTTGTGCCTGCAGATTGCTAAGGACTTCAGCTCAGAGGCTGCTGGTTCACTGGCTCAGAGATAATCTATCAATATGTTCTCTCCACAGCATCCCACCCCTTTTTCCAGGAACTAATGAAAAATCCAATAGACCTCCTCCCACCGAGGGTAGAGTGGCCAGCCTCTTCTGCCATCACACGTGTGAGGGCTTTTGCTCTGGTGTGGGAAAGGCCCCTGGAGAGGAAATGCCAATAGTCCAATTAGGAAACATGCTTTAGTGCTGACTTTTACCCGCAAAGCCTTTTTATCACGCACCTTTCCCCTGCAGATCTCAGAGTTTGAAAGGAGCTTTCTTGGCCATCTTGGCACTCATTGAATGATCAAACTTGAGTGGTAGTTGTGTGGTGGCTGTGACAATTCTTCTGTCTGAGCTCCTCCCTAGCAGGTAACGCCACTGCCATTGGGTATGCCTTAAAGAGGCTGGCAAAACTGCCTCAGACCCAGCCATTCTCCCATAAGAGTTATGCTTGTTCATGTCCCCAAGAAAAGCAGCCACCCCTGTCAGATCCCTTCCATTCTTCATGGGAGGGTCTGGGCTTACCTTCTTCACCCTCTCAGAGAGGACAGACCTGTGCTTAAGAGGCCATGGTCACTGGGGGAGACTCGTCAGCTGGCTTCTGATTCTACTGTATTTTTTTTTTGATACTTACCAGCTGTTTATGGAGGTCATGCTGATTTTATAATTAAGGAGTGACATAGTAACATGAAATTTCCTCTGAGATAATCTGTTTTAGCTTCCAAGGGGATTCTCTGTACAAAAAATAATAGTCCAAGTGGAGGGGAGGATAAGGAAAAACCAGCCAACCTGGTTCTTGAACTGTCAGTTAGGAAACCATAGCTTTTCCTGAGAACGCATAGCATGCACACAAATCCCCTGGGATCTGCTAGGGGCAGAGGCAGCTTCAGTCATCTCATGGTGGCCTCTACCGTCCAGCGTTATCTACAGATAACATCATCATATTACCAGGAAGGAAGCTTGCTGGAAATGCCAGTTCCTAGGGCATCCTTGAACTAGGATCTCTAGTCACAAGATCCCCCTCCCCCTGGCCCCCACCCTGCCCCAGATGTTTCCTGGGCACATTAAAGCATGGCACTGTTATGACCTGGCACACTGTTAGGTATCCTCAGTGTGGAATGAGTGCTGATGATGTGGTAACTGGAGACAGTAACCCATGGCTGACTTAAAGCTAGGTTTCTGTGTGTTTAGGTGCACTTTATGTGGGGAAGTGTATACACACCAGTGTGTATTTGCAAGTGGAGATCAGAAGACCACTTTGGCCATCTTTCCTCAGACTTTAGCTAGTCTATTAGTTACTTTTCTGTTATTGTGCTAAGACACCATGACCAATGGAACTTACAGAAGGAAGAGGTTATTTGACTTTACAGTTCCAGAGGGTTAGAGATCATAACAGTGGAGCAGGCATGGTGGCAGCGGTGGCTGGAGCAGAAAGCCTAGCAGGCACAGGAAGCAGAGAGTGACTGGAAATCTGGTAAGGCTTAAGAATTCTAAAAGCCCACCCCCAGTGACATCCTTCCTCCATCAAGGCCACAGCTCCTAAAGGCTTCATGACTCCCTAAACAGTGCCGCAGACTAAGTATCCAAATATTTGGAGTTTATAGGGGGCATTCTCAAACCACCACAACTATTGTTCTCAGATGGCAATCAACCTTGGTTATTTTATTTTTCTATTTTTAGGTAGCACTTTCCTGGGACACACAAGTAGGCTAAGTGGGCTTGTCACCCCGGAGAGCCACCTGTCCCTGCATCCCCAGTGCTATGATTGCAAGGCTGCCTATCATGCCTTGCTTTTTTTTTTAAGTTTCTGGGGACCAAGCTCAGATCTTCATGTTTGTGCAGCAAACACTTTACTGACTGAGCCTTCTCCTCAGCCCTGGAAACACAGATTCTATTTCTTGGTTTATAGCCTACTGCTAAGGAGCTTGTGGAAGGGTGCTTCCAGACCTGGGTGTGCCCTCCCGGTGGGGAGCACCGTTAGTGTCTCCAGGACTTCCCATCCTTTTCTGTGCCCTCCTCTGACCCCACTGGCTTTTTTAAGCCCTGGGTCCTCTGAGTAGCTGCCTCACTGGCTGGATTCAGAAGGACCATCTATCTTTCTTGGTATTGTTGTTCCAAGGATACAATTTGCCTAATAGGCATGTTCTGGCTGAAGCTACTCAGGGTGTAGGGCAAGGGATTATGTAAACATCTCAGTGCTTCAGAATTTTTAGAGAAATTACACTAGATCTTTAGAAAGTAAAACCTGGGGCTGCAGAGATCTCTCTCATAATGTGCTTGTCACACAAGTCTGGGGACCTGAGTTCTATCCCCAGTACCCACATAAAAGAAGACTGTAATGGTACACACTTGTAATCCCAGTGCTGGGGAGACAGCTTGCTGTGTATCTGAAGATGACTTTGAACTCCTGATCCTCCTGTCTCCACCTCCCAAGGGCTGGAATTAAAAGCATGTACCACCATACCCGGTGTATGTATTGGAGGGGATAGAACCAAGACTATGCGCATGCTAGGCAAGTACTCCACTGACTGAACTACATCCCCAGTTCCCATGTATACTCTTCATTTAATTTCCATTCTAGCTTTGCAAAGTGTGCCCAACTCACAGATGAAGAAACTGAGATTCAGAGATGTTAAGAAAAGGACTTTCCATGCACTACACAGCCAGAGCTGGGATTCAACACTGACCCCGGAGTTGCCAATAAGGAAAATTAAGTCATCAAGTCTCCTTGGAGTCAAGGATATGAGACCTTTGGGGATTATTGGGGTCAGCACTGGAGCAGGGCATCTGGAGGGTGGTTTGAATCCACATCCACAAGCTGTGTTCATAGTGCCTATAGGCCTGGCTGGCAAGCTGTATGGGGGACTCTGACCTATCTCCAAAGCTGGCCCATTGCAGTTTAGGAGCAGTGGTCTGTTCTGTAATATAGAGCAGCTGCACGGGAGAGCTGTGGCAGGGAAGAGTTTTGTGATGCCCAGATAGGTGCTCTGCATGCCTGGCCTTGGAGAAGGTGTGCAGGCCTGTAGCAGTTTTGCAGAACAGTGACAGGTTCTCAGTGCACTTTGGATCAGATTCTGCAACGGATGCATTCCAGGCTGGGGCTGGTAAGGGGTTGGCTAGGTTCCATTACAATGCCCTACACTGGCAAATATTTGCCAGGTGATTCCCACATGCTGGGAAGTGCTGGGGGGGGGCGGCACAATGTTGTGTAGAGAGACATGTAGAGAGGGATTTAGGCTGCTTTTAGGTATACAGTGAAATTGCATGTGAGGCTAATCCAGTTGATAATATGGCTGCAAAGTGCACGAAGTCCCAAAGCAGATGTTAAGTTTGGCAGTGTCTGAGCCTCTTACTGAGCCAGCCATCCTACTGCGCTCTTGTCTCATGGCCCTTGAATGATCCCTGTCCTCTACATCCTTAATCATGTCTGAAGATGCAAACAGACGACGATCGTACAACACCCAAGTTTAGACAAACCAAGGCTTTGACATCCCCAATGCATCTGGGGACTGGCTTTCAGATGACTGCCCTCATTTGCTTGACAGAGGGAATTCCCAGGAAGGTTGTGGGAATGCCAAGACTGCTGTCTTCCTAGCCAGTCCCTCGAGGGGAGGCAGCTGGCCTCCCTTTCCTATACCTGCTACCCCTGCGCTTCATCTTGGTCCATGGTACCCCAAACCAGAAGCTTTGGCTAGGCTTTGATCACTTCTGAATGCCCATCTGCATGTCCCTCCATGTGCCTGTCCCTTGTTCACTTTGCTGGTGTCTCTCCTGGGGCAGCTCTCGTACCCCCGACCACCCTCTGCCTTCACTGCTCTGCTCTGCTTCAAGTCTCATGTACCCCACCGCCAGAGCCACCACTTTGAGTGGCGCTTCCCGTCCTATTGGCTGAATCTCTCATTGGCCTAGAAGCCACATTTCTTGGGCTGACTCTATGGCTCCCTGTCATTCATGTCTGAAGCCATGCTGAATGAGGTCACCATGTGGAAACTGGGCTGGAGGGCCAGGAGATGGCTAATGACTGAAATCTGAAGCAACAAACACTTATAGCCTCTGTCTCCTGCACCCTTGCCATTTCCCTTGACTGATTGCTTCTTTTAGAGCCCCCATTGAAGACATAGCCCTGGCTGGGGAAGGTGGTGGGATCCCATAGCATGAGTGGGGTCCCAGAGGATGGAGAGATGAAGGATGTTTCGAGCTGTCCCATCAGCAAACCCAGGATGCACCCTGCCACCTGTTCTCTTTATCTTTCCTCTACTTTACATCCCTCTCCTGTCCCAACCTTTTCATCATCTCTTGGAAGCTTTTCATCCTCACTCTGCCCCCTAGTAGGGGTGGTGGCAGCTGCATGGCTCGTCTGGACAATATGGAGGACAACATGCAGGGGACACTTCCTGACCCAAGGGAGCTGGTTGCTTCCTCACTTCTGACTCCAGCCTGATTTGTCCCAGATATTGTGCTGCTGGCTTGGCTTTAACCTCATGTAAGCCATGCAGCACTCTAGCCTCCAGCTCAGGTTGGAAGCCCAAGTTCTTAAAGTCTTTGTAAAGCAGCTTCAAAGCCACGTCCTTACCCAGGGGTTAGTCCTTGCTTCCAGGTGGTGACAAAGGATTCTACAGTCTCAGTGTTTGCTTTTCTCCAGTTGGAACTGGTTGAGAACTATCCCAAGGGGACTGTTCTCCCCTTCCTAGAAGTCCGGAAGGTTCTCCTGAGGGCCTGCGGGAGTGGTTTTCTTGGGTCTCCCCATGGCAGCTGGATGCTCAGCTTTCATGCCCTTTTCTTTGTTTTCAGTTTTACAGAATTTTTGGATCCCTTCCAGAGAGTCATCCAGCCGGAAGAGATCTGGCTCTATAAAAATCCTTTGGTGCAGTCAGACAACATACCTACTCGCCTCATGTTTGTAAGTACCACAACTTCTTGGCTGATATGAACACTCTCCCAACTATGAACCAAATGGGCTTTGCTGTTCTAACCCCTGCAGAAGATGGCAGGCAGCTTGGAATAAAGAGAAGAGGAGCAGTCCATCTAATTAAAACTTGATTCCAGATCATAGTGGACACTGACTGGTCACCCGAGACATTGCAATTACCCAACACTTTGGGAAGAGAAGGGACTGGCTTATCTGACATATACAGATAAGTATATATTGACATTATAGTACCAACAGACTAGAAATCAATGATGTGACTATCCTGTCCCTTCTCCTTTCAGGATAACCTGAAGTTTTCCAAACTCAAACACCATAGATAGCTCTGCTGACCACTTGTTTGTTTTGGGCTTGTCAGTTGTTGACCACTGATAAGACTACCTTGTAGTAGGCTGGAGATAATGGCTCAGCAGGTAAAGCATTTGCCACCCAAGTTTGAGGACTAACCAGAGGTAGATCGTCAGAACCCATATAAATTCAGAGTGGGTGTGGTGGCGGGTCTGTAATCCCAACACATGGAGGCAGAAACAAGGGACCCCCAGAGCAAGCTGGCTAGGTAGACTAGTTGAATTGATGAGCTCTGGGTTCAAGTGAGAGACTCACTGCCTCAATATATAAGGTGGACAGCCATTGAAGAAGACATTGGACTACAACCTCTATCCTTCCCACACAGACCAACAGGACTCACATACGCATGCACACCATGTACCCAAATGGAAGAAAGACTGTTCTGTGTCATATCCCTCAGACGTTGTCTGTGTCTGTCTTCTAGAATAAATAAGTAAACACCCATGTACCTGATGGGCATATTGGGATAAGGTGGACAGCCATTGAAGAAGACATTGGACTACAACCTCTATCCTTCCCACACAGACCAACAGGACTCACATACGCATGCACACCATGTACCCAAATGGAAGAAAGACTGTTCTGTGTCATATCCCTCAGACGTTGTCTGTGTCTGTCTTCTAGAATAAATAAGTAAACACCCATGTACCTGATGGGCATATTGGGGTTATTTTTGCCTCTTCCTCCCTCCTTCCTTACCTCCCCCCATGGCAATTACTCCATAAGGACAGATAGGTTATCTAGTTTGGTTCCACCCCATCTCAGGGAAGAAGATTTCATTATTGTCTTCAGCTTGCAGGGTCTGAAGTGTCTCCTAGAGAGATGAGGGAACTTTCCTCAGGTCACACAGCTAGTGAGCACCTGTGCCTGATTCAGGTAGCCAGCTCTGGGACTCGGCTGTCCACTGCCCCGGAGGTTGGGAGCAGAGTTTTTCTGGAGCCTCCTGCTGGTGCCCAGCCACCCCCAGAACCCTGTCGGCGAGCTGTTCTATAGCAGAGGAAATATGTGTGCCCTCCCACCTTAGCAAACAGCATGACTGTTTAGATAGCAGCCTGGTGACTAGAACACAATGCCTGTTGATCTGCCATGGTATCTGTGCTTCTGGGAACTGAGGTGACTGTTCCAGAACATTTACAATGCACATGGGGCTATTTGAGAGAAATCCCTCTGGTTTTGTGGAGGAAAGCTTGTTAACTAATGATGGTTGGAAAGATCTTTGTATCTGCAAATTCCAAAATGCCTGCAATACCACGTGAGCACTCAGGTGTTATTACAGTTTTTTTTTAAATGATTACTTTTCTGCTGGAAAATAAGCTAGATTTCTGTATATCTTAGGGAAATTGAAATATTAAGGGTGGTTGGCAGTAAGGTATAACAAATAATCAAGTATTATAATAAGATCTTTTCCCAATTCTGCTCTAACTCAAATCTTCTATAAATCCTAGATATGAAGGAACCAATATGTGGTTAATGACTTCACAGCTCTTAGGGGAAGCATCTGTTTATCACTCAGACTCACTCTTCCCAGGATTCTACACTGCACGTGCTATAAAATAAAATTTGGAGATGAATATTTATATGGGATATTGTGAGAAATTTGTGGCTCTGGCCTAGATTTTTGAAGAATACATTGTTTAGAAGACTAGATACAGATCCCACAAATATTCTAGCTACAGACATAAATGGGATGGAGCAATTTGCATATTGGCCTGTGCTAGGGATGAGACGTAAAAAGGCCATTCAGCACTTCATTCTCAGAGAATAGAAGGGTATTCAGCTCCTCATACTGACTCACTAGCTGATTTCCTAATGAAACAAGCTCAACCTTTCACTTTGTTAATAGCAGTTGATGAATCTCATGCCTTCAGTCACAAGACTCAGTGCAGTTCTGTAATAACACAAGGAGAACTCCATTTATAATAGTGTGACATGAAGACGGAAAATACTTGTCATTCTATAAATTAGATTTGTTCTCCTAGTTTTTATTAAGAGTTTAATAGCTATCATTTGGCAGCTTTTGATCCTCTAAAGTCTTTTAGTGTTTGTAGAAGGATGTTAAATGGAACACGTAGTCTCACTGATAGCTAAAACAGCTCAGTTTCTCCTGGAAGTTCAAATTTCATTCAGAGTGTGTGTGTGTGTGTGTGTGTGTGTGTGTGTGTGTACGCGCGCGCGCGCACCATAGCTCATCTGTGGAAATCAGGGCAACTTGAGGGGGCTGGGAGTTGGTTCTCTCCTTTTATGTGGGTCCCAGAGGTAGGACTGAGGTCATCAGTCTTGTCAGAAGGTTCCTTTAAGTGCTGATCCACCTAATCAGCCCACATTTCATTATTTAATACATAAAATAATCCTGGCTCTATTTTGTGTGGGTTGGAATGTTTTAATTTAAAGGTGAATTTTCTGACTTCCTAACCAAAATGTTTTTGTAGACAGGTGGTATGGACCTAGATTTGTCTTTATTGGATAATTAGTGTTCCTGAGTCACAAGTGTACATGTGCCCCCCCTTGTGTGCCCCCTCTTGTCTGTCTGTCTGTCCAATCTATCTAGTCTATCTTATCTATCTAATCTAATCTCTCTCTCTAACTCTCTAACTCTCTAACTCTAACTCTCTCTAACTCTCTCCTCTCTCACCTCTCTCACCTCATCTATCAATCATCTATCTAATCTCATCTATCATCTATCTAATCTATTATCTAATCTATCTAAAGAGAAGATTCCTTGGACAAATGTAGCCAGAAAATCAATAGACTAAATGTTTAGTGATTGGGTCAAGTGCATAGTAAGTGGTGATAGCCTCCTCGGAAAAATCCTAACTCACATTTTATCAGACTGTGGCTCCCTCAGTGCACATGATGGGTCCGGGTTTGGTAGAAATATTTGATACCAAGAGTTTGTTTCTCCTGTGTCCCTGTTGACCAGAGACACAGAGTGAGGGTTGTTTTCTGATGCAATGAGTCCTACTGAGCATTTCCAAGCAGTCAGCCCTGTGATGGAAGACTGTGTTGTTAACTCAAAAGACGTCATGGTTCTTTACTGAGTATATGGAGTTTGTCAGAGCATGCTTAAAACACCTGCTTATTGGTATACGGCATGCCACTTCGTTCTGGGTTTTGCTTACTACACTTCCTGTTAATGTCATGTTGTACATTCAGGGCATACTTCCAAAGCTCATGCTGTGGGTAAGTGAGACTATAATGGTTGTAGAGAATGGGAGGGTAAATCAGGCATGGGGCATACTCAGGGATCCTGTGGGATTCTGAGGGAGATGGTGCTCTGATATAAAATAAAACCTGGGAAGGTCAGAGGAGATAGGCAAACCTCTAGGGAGCATCCACCTTCGTCATTATCATCTATCTATGATGGTGACATTATCACCATCATCATCATGAGCTGCTACAGCACCCAGTGTTTCTTGAGGATAGTGCCCGTACTCATCTCAAAACAAGCAACACCTCAGTTAGTACTTCTCAGGATCCTTGAGGATCTGACTCAATAATTAACTCAATAATTTTAGGATTAAAAAAAAACCCAACAATCTGTTCAAGGTCTTAAAACTGTCTTTGGGTAGATCAGGCTCTCCAAGGACATTGGACCTTGCTTGGCCCGAGACCATTATTCTATGATGTCACTTTGGGGAATTGGCTAAGGTTTGGAAATGTGCTGCTAACGTGCCACACACAAGAAAGCAGATGTATGAAGGCCCAGAAGCAGGAGAGCATGGCCCTGGTGAGCCCAGGGAATAGGAATTTGTTTTGCAGGCATCTTTTGAGTGAAGGAGCAGAGGAAGCAGGGATGGACCCAGATGGTGGACAGCTTCAGATGAATGGATTATTATTACTACTCAGTACCACAGACAGTGATGAAGTATCTGTTGTGCGTCAAGCCCAGGGCTAGGCAGTGGGGTACGGAATTGAATAAGATGTGGTTTCTTTTTTGGCAGAGGTACAACTATGAATATAAACTGGACTGTTTGGCATCACAGAAAAACCTTTGAAGAACAGGCTAGACTCAAGAAGAGAATGAAGAGAGATTTTCCTATTTTTTTTCCCCCTTGTCTTTTAAGGAGACAGTTGTCTTTCTTTCTTGTTCTGGCCCACGGTACACCAGATTTCCTCTCTTAGAATCTTGCTGTCATTGTCATGATTTGATGGGAGGGTTTCCTATTCTGGGATAGGATGTCTTTAAGGAAGACAGGAACTAGTCAGTTTTGGGAGACGACGAACTTGGCTGGTGATGGACAGTTTAATTTGTAGGCTCTTTTAAACTCTTTGACAGCTCTTTCTTGGTAACAGGATGCCATTGTTTACCCAAGTGAGGCCTTTTCCAGGTGTCTGTGTGCTGAAGTCATCTTTATAATCACTTTGCAGCCTACCTTTCTGTTAGGTGCGGGAGATGTAGACATTTTGTCCTTCTGTGCTGTGGGAGGAGTGAACTTTGATGGCACTGTCTTCCCTGGATAATGGGGTGGAATCAGGCTACTCTGCTTTTTATCTCTTCTCTTCTAAATTCCCCTGATATGGTTATATCACCCCCACCCTAGACTGGGTGCTTCAATTTTTAAAATAATTATATTTATTTTTAATTTTTTGCAAATTTCATACAATATATTTTGATCATATTTAGATCTCCGGTGTATCTTTATCCCCCTTTTTAATCCCCCACTAAATACACACACACACACACACACACACACACACACACACACACACACAAATATTCCTATATATGTGGCTGATAGATTCGTGTCCCCAAATTCCCTTTGGTGTGGGTTCACCCACCAGAGCCTGTCAACCTAGCAAGAGTCTCGCCCTTAAATGAGACTGAATCTCCCCTTCCCAGCAGCCATTAGTTTCCAGTGGTTCCTCAGATGGGTTTGGGGTTTCTTGCCCACTTCCCCACGTGTATGCTGGGATTTTGTCTCGCTTGAGCTTAAGTGAGAATTGTCTATGCTCTCAGCATTGCTATGAGTTTATATGAGAAGCTTCCCAGCTGTCTGGAAAACTCTTTTTCCTTGTGGTCACCCACCTCCTATGGCTCTTGCAATCTTTCCGACCCCTCTTCTGCAATGACCCCTGAGATTCTGGAGGCAGATGTTTGATATAGGTGTCCTATTCAGTGACCACACTTCAGTCTCTTATTCTCTATATGTTGGCCAGTTGTGGTTCTGTGTTAATCACCATCTGTGTAAGGAGTCATCTCTGCTGAAAGTTGAGAGATGCATTAATCTATGGGTATAACCATAAGTCATTAGGAATCAGTTTAATACCATAACTATTTGGTAGGAAACTGGTATTAGGTTCTCCCCTGTGGCCTATGACCTGTCCACCTCTGGTGCCTAGGCCTGATATCAATGTCAGGCATGGGCTCCATCCTATGAAAAAAACCTTGAATCCAATTAGAAAGTAGTTAGTTACTCCTGTAATATTTGTGACACGATTGGGCATATATTCCAGACCAGCTGTTGTAGCTCACAGAATTCACAACTGGGTAAGGTTCATGCTTGATTTTCTCTTTAGCTTGCATAGCACCTTCTAGGACTATGAAAGCTAAACAGCAGTGATGAGGCTTTGGAGTCCACACTTCAGCTTGATTTCTCTGCTCGTTCTACAGTTTTTGCATGTATGTCCTTAGCAATAGAGTTTTACCATGAAGTTCAGGTGGGTAACCAAGGGCAAACTGCTCCAAATTTTGACCTTTCCTAGACATATCTGGGACAGTACAATGCCTTTCATCACCTCTGAGGCTGATCCTCTTTCTGAGTGGAGCAGGAACGTTGAGGGCACTTCCTTTGTGGGATTCACTGGTCTTCATGTAAGGTAAGGACCTAGTTGGAGACATTAGTCATTTGCTCTCTTGGCAAGCTGCCTGGAAACTTCTGTTCTCTCTTGTTTGTAGCCTGTACCCAGAGATGCTCACTACTTAGAACAGGTGTGTTCAGGTGGAGCACTCTTTAATCGCTTATGTCCAGGGACAGGATCCTGGTACTCTGTATTGCTGTAGTTTGAGGATGTGTTACATTCCTTTTGGGATAAGTTGAAACAGTGGGCAACAGACAAAGAGGTGGTAAATATAAATATGTCTTTGTTCTGAATTGGGCTCCATGCTTCCCAAAGATATGATGGATACATGGCCAGGGAGAAGAAATGAGAGTGGAGCCTGCAGTGTTGTTAGAAGAGGGGAGAGGTCGCACCCCACAGCAGCCCATGGTGCTTCTGTTTAGAGGTGGGGCTGGGCCCTCTGTCAGATGACTGCAGCCCTTTACAGGAGGGGCTCTTGAGGTGAGGAGCAGTGGGCCTTCCTGGGTGCTTAGTACTGGCTCAGAAAGCAGTTGATCGGTGGTTATAGAAAGGATCCTAAATGGCATCTACCTAGGAAAATTACAGAGTGGGTTAATGAAGGCTTATTTTGTTGGAGGTGGAGTGGGGAGAGATCTAATTGGGAACAGGAAAGCTGTGTCAGGGAACAATGCCTACAGTGGCCATCAGGCCTCTAGTGACTCCCCCAGCCCTCATACCTGGGCTGTGAGCCTGCACATTTCTCACTTAATATGCTATCCTGTGCTTGGGCCAACAACTTCCTGCTCTGAAATCCCTCTTGACCAGTCTTTTGTGCCACATGCTTCTGTGTGCCCTTCATGTGACAAGACTTACTCAGTTGATGTTCTATTTGATTTCCTGTTTCTGTGATAAAACACCATGAACAAAATCAACTTGTGGAAGGAGATGGTTTATTTGACCTATACTTTCATGTCACAGTCTAACAGAGGGAATTCAGGGATGTGACACAAAGCAGGAACCTGGAAGCAGAAACTGAAGCATTAACTGTAGAAGAATGCTGTTTACTGGCTTGTGTCTCTGATCTATACTCATCTTGCTTTCTTATATAACCCAGGACCACCTGCCCAGGGATGGCATGGCCTACAGTTGGCTAGGCCTTCCTACATCAATTAGAAATCAAGAAAATTCCCCACAGTCATGTCCGTGGGCCAATCTGATGAATGAAATTCCTCAATTGAGGTTCCCTCTTACAGGATGATTCTAGTTTGTGTTAAGTTGATGAAACCTAATGGGCACGGTTGACTTCCAAACATCCCATGTCACATAGCTGATAAGGGGGCATCATCAAACCCATTACCACTCATGGTTACAAAAGCATGATGGAAAGTATGTAGATTTTCTTGTGTCTCATGGCTGTCTCCAAAAAGAGACCGAAGAAGCGTCCCCAGAGCTATTTGATTGTCATGTGAAGAGGCTGCTTCGAAAGGCTGTAGTCATTTGGGTGAATCCAGGCCTTTGTACCATCACCAATTCTCTGTCCAAAAAGTAACCTCTCCTTTGAGTACAGTTGAATATTTCCTAAGTGTTAACAGCACTGATCATAGTGACCACATACCCTTCAACATCACTACTGATTTGTGGGGTGTACAGTCCCTTCTGGTACTGTTATCTTGACAAGTTAGTCATGAGGAAGTAAATAAATACCCTTTCTGCCGGGCATGGTGGTGCACACCTTTAATCCCAGCACTGGGGAGGCAGAGGCAGGTGTGGATCTCTGTGAGTTCAAGGCCAGCCTGGTCTACGTAGTGAGTTCCAGGACAGCTGGGGCTACCGGAAGACCCTGTATCAAAAAGATAAAAAAAAAATACCCTTTTCTTGGTAGCAATACTTTAAAAAAGAACTTATTAATTATGGAAGGCTAGGTTAGATACCCCACAAGGGAGGCAGAAAACTGGTCTCTGAAGACTGGCCTTTCTACTCACAAGCTGTGTGTCCCCAGGCCCATCACTTATAGTATGTGCTTAGAGAAGATAGTCTCAGGGCCGTCATGGCACTTAAGAGGCTCCCAGCACAGGCATTGCCTCATAGTGGGCATAATTATTTTCTAACATGAACAAAATAAATGGATATTCAACAAGGGAGCACCAAAAGGAAATGAATTGATTGGCTGTCAGCAAGAAGACCCACCTTTCATGTTTCTAGAGAGGTGGGGATGGGTGGTCAATAGTTCTCCTGTAGAAGAGAATGCCAGGGGGTGTTAACTGGTACTGATGAACTGTCATAATTATACACTGTTCTTGACTGTTTAAAAAGCTCCCACTTTAGATGTGGCTCCCAGCAATTACAAATCAATTTATAACCTTCAGTCAGACTTCTCATCCCCCAAGTATATGTCTTCTCTTCGTATAGACAAATTATCCTTTCTTTGAGGTCAGCTCAGCAAGGTCATTTGACTAGCAAGTTGAAATTAAGGGGACTAATTATGAATCAGCCTGTGTGAAACAAACCTGTGTCCTCATGAGGGGTTATTTGTTACTTCTTCCAGGCGATTTCTTTCCTCACACCTTTGGCTGTTATTTGTGTGGTGAAAATTATCCGGCGAACGGACAAGACTGAAATCAAGGAAGCCTTCTTAGGTAGAGTATTCACGGTTCTTTCTTTAGGGTTGGGAAGGAACTTAATTAGATAACCACATCTGAGAAAATCTCATTTACAACCAACTTATTTTTTCCTTTGGTCAAAACTAAACTCTGGAAAAAACAAGACAAGTTTAAAAAGTAATGAATGAATGTGCCGTGAAGGCTTTTCAGAGATCTCATAGGGCCGGGGCAAAGGGGGGTGTCGCTGTCCGCGGTGCTGAAGACTGTCCTGGCGTCTCCTCAGAAGTCCTAAATGCCCAGCATGAAGGCAGGGCAGCCCTTTTCAAAGGCAAGAGCTGACTCTCCACTCTTACATTGATGACTAATGTACCCAAATCATGAGCAATTTAAAAATCAACATTGGCTGGAAGAAAAATGAACAAAAGCTTATATAAAATAAAATAGAAATTGGAAAGTACCATAAATCACCTTCAGTCTGAGGACTCTCGAGCAAGTAAACAGCTGCTATTATGTAAACAGTGCACTAGTGTTTCCCATTGTGTGTAACACCATTGCTATAAATTCTCCCCAATCTGAGGTATGTCTGCATGTGATGAGATTTTGACATTTTAGGATTGAGTTTTTTCTGGTCCACATATGAATCAAATGCCGAGTAAATGACAGGTTAAGCGAATCCTGGTGTGGGGAGATGATTCAGTGAGTAAAGTGCTTGCTGTGAAAGCATGAAGACTTGAGTTTAATCCCTCAGCACCCGCATAAACCTCTGGGCATGGTGGCACAAGCTTGGGATCCAGCTCTGGAGAGGTGGAGACAGGCAGATCTCTAGGGCTTTCTGGTTGGTCAGCTTAGCCTATTTAGCCAGCCCGGGTCAATGAGAGACACTGTCTCAAAAAACATGGTGCATAGCACCTGAGGACTGACACCTGAGGTTGTACACTGGCCTACAAGCACGTGCATCCGTGTGCACACACACACACACAAGGAAAAGCCAATCTTACTAGGCTATTTTAGCAACCATGGTAATTTAATCTGTGTCTGAAGCTTCTTTTTTGATTAAAACATTTTTATTTTATGTGTATGAGTGTTTTGCCTGCATGTATATAAGTAGACCACCTGTGTGCTTGGTACCTGTAGAGGCAAGAAGAGGGCATTGACTCTTCTGGAACTGGAGTTAAGACCATGTGGGAACTGAACCTGGGTCATCTGAAAGGGCAATAAGTGCTTTTAACCAGCAAGCCATCTCTCTAGCCCCCAAATCTCCAGTTGTTTGAGCCTGTAAAAAACTAAATTAGATTGATTTTTGACATTTTACATAAGTTACCCATACCTTCACCTTCCAAGTTTGTGTTTGGTATATTCCAGGAACTTACCATCCAGTGAGGTGGTAAGTCTAGGACAAACAAGGTTCTCAGTAAGGGATCTGTTAACTATTGCGCTTTGGAGCAATGAAGGTGTAGCATAATATGACCTTCCCTTTTCTTGGTGAGGGGGTGAGTATGAGGCAGAGCATGTGTTTAGGGAATGAAGAACAGTGAGTCTGGTTTTATATAACCAAGCTTTAGTTAGCTCTGTCTAGTTGAAAAAAAAAACATTGTTTCCCTTTCAGTGTAGCTCAAATAAATAGGGGCTTTAACCACAAAGCTAAATAAGCAGTCTTTAGACTCCAAGAAGAGGAGAGTTCAGCACAGCAGCATGATCAGCTCTGTCTGAAATATGTCCTCCCTCTCCCCCTTCCCTCTCTCCTCTCCTGCCTGGACTTTGTTTCTTCTGACCCAGACCTTTGCTTTCCATGAGACATGGGTTCACAGTGGTGGTGACTTCTCCCCACACACCTGACTGTTCCACGCTGGTATCCATGTCCTACTTTCACTGTATTTCTTGGTCCCAACTCCCTAGATTCATTTCCCTGACTCAGTTCATTTCTTCAGGCTGGTAACAAAGTCATGAGAACCTGTCCAGCCTAATATTACTCTCCCTCTGGCCAGATGTATGCCCCAGGTTCCTCACCTGTATACTGGGAGTTTAGTCATATGGCCTTGGTCTCTTCAGTTGGGATAGCAGAATGCTAAGTGTCTCCAAGGGGGCTTGGGTACTCTCCTGTGCCTGGCTCCTGTGGCATGGCAGTGTTTAGATGGATGTCACTGCTGTCCCTGGAGCATCCTGCTGAGAACCTGCTCAGTTGGTTTGGGAATCCCTTTGTTTCAGACTGTATTGTATTTGCTCCCTGGCATAGAGACCCAAGATAAATGACAATGGGTAAGAATAGCTATTCAGGGCTGTGGTTATAATTTACATCTAACTTCGGAGCTGTGCTCCTGTGACAGCTGTAAGCAACTCCTGGTTACCTTCTCTAGACATTTTCAGTCTCAGCTAAATCTCCTTCAGGGTGACATTTCAAAATTGAACACCATACTCTGCCTCCTATACATTAACTAAAAAGGAATTATTGGATGCTCTGTTTGCCTAAATAAATGAGTACCTGCCCTATAAACATGATGGAGAGCCAGCATTTTTCACAGTTTTCAAATAATCACTGTTTTCAGGAAGACTTTGAGGGGATGCTGACCTTTAAACACCAAGGACAGTGAACTAGGTATTTTCTAATATTTTCTGGAGTTCAGAACTCCCTTGGGGAAGGGAGTTTAGTTCTTGGATCCATTCTTTACTTGGGTGTCTTTGGAAGAGTTTTACCCCATACCTGAGCCTCAAGTGTTCCCCTCTGTTGCATATGGGCAAGAGCAGTGGCATTTGTCCCATGCAGCCTCTGGCATTCAGGCTGCAGAGCAGTCAGGTCTGTATGTGCAGAATCCTGTTAGGAAAAGACTGATGTGGGGAGCTTTCTACAACTTCAGAAGAACAAAAGCCCTCTATTCCTCTGGAATGCTCACAACCAGTAGTACCCTCAATACCCGCCCCTGGGAAGCCAACCCGTAGGACAGAGTACTTTGAATTTCTTTATCAGATAGTCTGGTTTGTGATTCTGATCCATCAATCAAATTTATGATGCTGTGGGACGCTGTAAAAACATCCTAGGAGCTAGACCCATGGGGCTCTTTATAATCATCAAGCACCCCTGTTTGGGGGCCATACATTTTCCTGTGTGTCCTCTCATCAAGCATCTGATCTGAGCCCAGGCTTCTCTCTAAAGAATGGGGAAGATTAGAGTGGGCACCTTGTGAGAGGTCTCTGCGCCCATCTCCCGAGAATTGTGTCATTCAGATGAAAATATTAATCAGTTCCTTGTACTCCCAGAATGTAGAAATGATTCCCACACTAAACACCACTGCTCCAGTGTCTGGTACTTCTCTATCTCTTCCAGGTATTTGAATCAGACAGTGCATTTGCTGGCGGTTGGTGGTCAGATTACAGGCACACATTTTCTAGCTCACTTACCTCAAAGTTCTGGAAAGATTGCTCTGTTATAAGCTCACTCAGCTCCAAGGATGGGGGAGTATATTGTGCTCTGGTTTGATGGAGCTGTGTATGAAGTTCACTAAGATTTATGTGGGGCAAAGGGAGACAACCAGTGATGCTTGCTCTCAGTTTATCTGTATGGAGGCCATGCTCCTAGGAGAGCAATGAAGACTCAGCAAGGCCAACCCTAACAAGGAAAAGACCACTGCCGCCATCTCTGTACTGTCTCACAGTCTGTCCCTTGTCAGAACTTTGGGAGAAAATACAGACAAGATATCCCAGAAAGTTTTTCTCTTCTGCAAAACAAGCCTCTGGACCATGCTCTGAGCTCATGAGAGAGGAAGCTGGCATGTCAGGCATGGAGGTCTATGTGTGTAAAATGCAATCACTGGCTCTTCCCGACTTTCCCATTCTCTCAGCCCTGGTTTATGCACTCCAGTTGATGCCTGGAGTTTTGATGGCAGCTGTGCAGGTTTGATTCCTGCTCAGCCCTCCAACAGGATCAACCCTTCTTTTGCCACCACATTCACACGTAGCCAATCACTCCCCATCCCCATTCAGGTGTTTAATTTCCCTTTGGCAAAAATGTCCACTCCAACTCTCCCTGTTCTTTGTTTCTTACAACTTGTTAAAAGCAGTAGTTTTGTCATCTCAGTCACGTGTGATCTGGTGACCAGGTTGGCTGTGTCACAGAGCTTTCTGTGTGTAGAACAATACATTTGTCTCCCCTAATGATCGTGAATCACTGGAGGAAGTTCCTTCCTGAAAATGCCCCTCAGCTGGTATTGAGCAGTTAATATTTGCCAAAGGGAAATGGTAGTTCACGTGCTTTATTACTTAACAAGCTGATACAACAGAACATTGCTAGGTTTTTATTGCCTTTGCAAGGCTTTTGACCTTCTATTTTAAAAGAATGCATTCCAGAAGTTCTTACTGGTTTAGATGACAAAAGTCACCTCCTGGACTCTTCCCATTCTTGGAAACAATGATTTGTTTGATAACAGATTGACATCTGTTGGCGGGTGATGGGTCAGCAATGAGATAGTGGCCTGGAGAGGCTGTCTTGTTCTTCAGTTAGGATTCTGGCAACTTTCTGATTACAATTATGTCCAAGGATTTTGCCAGGAGGAAATAAAAAAGTTGGTTTCTTGATACCAGTAAAAGAAATTCTATATGATGTTGTATTAAATCTGTTTGTATCAGGCCAAAAAGAAAAAAATGATGGATGGGCTCCTTTGTGAAGCTGAAAATTTCAAAGAGGAAAGATAAATTTCATGTCATAGGGATATGGAATTTTATGACCGAATCTCCAAAGTCCTGCCCCAATTATATTTTGCTACGGCAACAAAGCTTCCTTCTGTTTTTGAGGTATTATTTCACTACTCCGTGGTCATAAATTGAGTAGCACTATAGATGATGGTGATGGTGGTAATGATGATAATGATTGTGATAACAAGGACGGTGGTGGTGTTGGTGGTGGTAGTGCTGGTGACTATCAATGACAGTGATGATGGTGATGATGATAGCGGAGATGGCTACAGTGGTAATGGTGATGATGGTGATGACAGTGATGGTAGTGGTGGTGATGATGATGGTGGTGATGATGACAGTGGTGGTAATGAGGATGATGGTTATAGTGGTGATGGTTACATGGTGATGTTGATGATGATGGTGATAGTAATGAGAGTGATGTGGTGATGATAATAGTGCTGGTGATTATTTTGATTTGAGATCCAACTGGTTATTTTTCTGTTGATTTTATTTTGTAGCGGTGTCCTTGGCTCTTGCTTTGAATGGAGTCTGCACAAACACTATTAAATTAATAGTGGGAAGGTAAGTTCCAAAAAGAAATAAATGGTGGCTTATATTACTACAGTCATCTATAACCATAGCCAGAGGATACTGGGTAGGACAGATTTGAGTGCTTCTGGCTTTCCCTTAAGTTGTTGCCCTTCTGGGATTTCTGTCTTTAGCATGGATCTTTTCTCTCCTTTAAATTGTGAACTCACTACTTTGAGAGACTGAGAAAGCATCCACTTGCTGACCGGTGATCCTCTCCTGTGGTCAAGGTCTGCCACTGGCATGTCTAGAGCCAACCACTGCCGTCTTAAGGCTTAGCCAGGCTCATTCACTGGTCAGTTTTGGCCTTTAACAAATTAATAAGATTACTTATGTTTTGTTGTCTTTGGGGTGAGATGTATGGGTTGGCATTTCAGATCTGCCTTTATGACATATTTCTCTTACTGCTTTTGAGAAATGGTTTCTAGTTTCCATTTGTCTTTCCTTCTCTACTGACTGCTCTGCTGGAGAGCCAGACTCTTCAGAGGCTACAAGTCCAAAGGCCTCAATTCAAGACCTGATTTGAACCCTGACTGCTAGTTCCTGGCCTTGGACAAATGAGATCCTGTTTACAATCTCAGCATTTATGGATAACTGGCATGGTACAGGGGGCTGGGCCAAACATCAAGGGGAAGTGAAGGTGCGCAAAATGTGGTTGATGAAAGGCTTGGCGCTGCGCTGTCCCTCTAGATCTCTGTGCTTAGCATTAACTTGGGACTGATAAAGTCCTGATTCTCAGATCTTGCCTTCTGAAGTTCTGGTTGAGTATGTAGACAACCACATTGGGGAGACACTGGATGAGTCTGTAAAAGACCACACAATAGCAGGTCTGATAGATTATTGAGGCATCTCACCTTGACTCTAGAGCTGGGCAGACCAGTGTATGGGTGAGGGCATGGCAGCTGTGACCCAATATGCATAGTAAAGGGGGTGCTGTGCTTAGAGCATTAGCCAGCCTTACCCATAATTCAGCAATATTAGTTGACTTATTATAGATTAATGGACCAGCACGTATCATTGTGAGAATTCTCACCTGAGTAGGGCATTCAAATATAGAATGAAGTATATAGGCACAGAATCCAATTTTAGGGTTCGCAGTTGGGTTTGCTACTTACTGTTTATGTGTGATCTTCATGGGAGTGTTCTTTTCGGACCCCCGGCTCTGCCTTGGAAGCCCTCAAAGGAGCTTCATGACATAGGGAATGTGCAGTGCTTACTGCTGCATCTATATCTAATAATCAACTGATATTAGCTGTGGTTGCCATGGAAGGATTGGCTTCAGGCCAGGGCTACCCCTCTTTGCTCTAGATGTCTCTGTCTCGCCCATGTCCTACAGCAGATAAGCCAGCCCAGGTCACTGAACTCTTTACACCATGTGTCTGAATTGCCAAGCCTCTCAGTGAGGTTGAGACTTGCTGCTTGAGGAAAGGTGTTGACTACCAAAACTTAGAAAGGAGGGAAGTCATTGTCTACTAGCTAGACCTGGGGAGCAGGGTCCAGACTGGCAGAGCAATAAATTGAGGCAGGAAGTTCCTTCTGTCATCTGACACGGTGTTTAAGTACCTCCAGTAAATCACATTACCTGATGCACAAGACCTCACCTTTGGTTTGGCGTTGATTTTATCCCTTTAGAGATGTAGAAACGGAGGCTGGAGAGGCTGAGACCTCTCTATGATTACAGAACTATGTGTCAAGCAAAAATTACAACTCAGAACTTTCTGAGCCCCAAACCTGAGTTTTCCCCTCAACCGCTGTGTCCAGAGGTCTCTAGGAGGGAACCCTGGTGTTGATGGCAGAGGGGGCTTGCAGAAGGGCTGGGGCTGTAGGGAGGAGGGGTTAGCTTGGGGATCATTGTGATGGCATTTTATATTGAAAATGTCCATGGTGTCTTTTGTAGACCTCGCCCCGATTTCTTTTACCGCTGCTTTCCAGATGGAGTGATGAACTCGGAAATGCACTGCACGGGTGACCCTGACCTGGTGTCCGAGGGCCGCAAAAGCTTCCCCAGCATCCATTCCTCCTGTAAGTCTAAGGCTAGGACACTCTGTGCTCCCTTGCTCTATTTCTGGGGGAGTTTAGGTGACGAGGAAGCATTGGTACATGAGTGATAAGCACAGCATACTTTTCTTCATTGTAGGATGGATGACTTGGGGAAAAATATTGTTTCCAGGCAGTCATAAGAGCCTGCAGCCAAGGCTCTGGGCTTTATGCAATGTTGTATGTGTTGCTTTCATGAACTTGGGAGAGTGTAACATGTGATACCTCACCCTGGACAGTATGACTCATGAACTTGACAGTGCAAAGGGCATTTACCATGTTCCCAGATACCTGATATTCAATTCAGTGTTCTGTCTAGGATATTCCTTTAATGTATTGTGTGTATTCAAATCTAGAAGACATATATATGCATATACATAATGGATATGTATAGAAGTATGCACTCATACACATCCTAATATATAGTTTGACTATAGATGCTTAAGCTGGAATCAGCCTTACGGCAAAGATACGTATGAACCATAAGCATTATGCTACAGCAGAAAGAACACAAATGTCTGAATTGTAACAAGTTCTGGCTCTGCCAGATTTGAGCTCTTTATCTTCACTTTTCTGAGCCTTGTGTCCTGCTGTGTAAAGTAGAAACAGAAATACCTCCATTCTCAATAGGAGTGAAGACTGAGCGTGCAATAATGGTCACTAACATCTCTGGAGTACCCACAATGCCAGAAAGTGGAGGTTCATTGTTTTAATTAATCCATTCAAGTGTAAGGCATTTAGAATCTGTACCTCAAGCAGCAACTCTCCCTGTAGTTATTTATTACCAGAGCTGAAGCTTCCATTCACTCTATCAGTGTTTATTGAATGACTCAGGTGCCGGGTATTGGTTCTGGGGATTTAAAGACGAATAAGACAACAGCACAGCCCTGGGGAGTCCACAGGTAGTGGCAGGCTGCCTTGAAACTATGATTCTTGGGCTAATTGGATTACTGCAGGTGACTGACTGCGTGGAAGGGGAAAGACTCTTGCCATGCTGTGACGTTCTTGATTCACTAAAGGTCTGACCATTATTTACTTTTGGCAAAACTTATATTAATCTTTTCTTTTTTCTAAATTCTGTGCCAGAGATGTACCTTACCAGTGACTGAATTAGGAAATATAGAGTTTCTCCTTGTGGGCATTTTCCCCAGAGCTATTGGAGAGTAGGGTCTGTCAATGAGAGATGGGGGATTTGGGGCACTCTTAAGTGAGTGATCACCAGCATTTACTGCAATCTGTGACCTGCCAGGTTGGGGCTGATCTATTCTCAGGACAGTGGGATTCATACAGGGTCAGTCACATGTCTGAGGATGGCATCCTCTGACATAATGGTGCCTTAGGCCTCTTAATTATTTACTACAATGGAGCATTCATGTGCTATATTAATTCAAATAAATGGAAAACTCATTTTCTTCTCTACGTCAATGAAGATCATGTGGGGGTGAGTGCTGTTCCCTCCAAATAAGCCCAGTTCCTAGTCCCATGGAGCTTATACATATGACTTTATTTGGAAAAGCAGTTGTAGGTAATAATACTGTTTTTTTTAAATAATACTGTTTTAAATATTGGAAGTATTGGAAATTCTCCAGGAGGATGATTCAGGAGTTCTCAACGTGCACGCGTGCGCGCACACACACACACAAACGGTGACTACATAAGATGGAGCTGTTAAGTAGCTTGACTATAATAATCATTCTTTACGTACACTTTTGCTTTAAAAAACTCAATGTTTAATTGCCAAAGCAAAACACAACAATCTTAGATTTATGGTGTTCCTAAATCCAATGACAGTTGTTCCTGTAAGAGACAGGCAGAGGAGGTTTGAGATGGAGACGGGAAAGGCTAAGTGAAGACACAGGCAGGATAGAGGATGCAAAGAGAGCCTGGAGTCACCAGAACTGGAGGAGACCAAAGGCACCATTCTTCTGTAGAGCCTTTGGAGGACTCATGGCCCTGCTGATGTCTTCATTTTAGATGCTAGACTCCTGATCTCCAGAGCTATGAAGAAATGAGTGTTAGTTCGTGATAGCCTGTTGCAACAGCCTAAGGAATGAATAAAGAGAGTCAGGTCTGACATTGAGCAGTCAGTACAAAGGCTTTGGCTTTGGAGTGAGCATGCTACCACATGCTGCTCTATAATGCCCACTAGGTCCTTAGGATGTGGTGATATCTGAGACTGTAGGGCTCAGGGATTTTCTGGGCTTTGGTCAGAACATATATCCTGGGGGATACAGACGTGGCTGACCAGTTCAGAGTGGTTGCTGCTCTTCCAGAGGACCTGAGTTCAGGTCTCAGCACCCACAATGGGTATCTCACAACCACCTGTAACTCTAGCTCCAGGGGATCCAACACCCTCTTCTGGCCTCCAAGGACAGTCTCCCCCACACAGGATAACCCCACACACACACATAGACACACACATGTACACATAATTTTTAAATTTATTAATGAATATATCTGGGAATGCTTTCTTCCAAACTGGCTTTTCTCCAGTCATGAAGTGTGTTTTGGGGGGTACAGATGCCAGCTGAAGGGGTTCCTACTCTATTGAGTTATTGCATCCTTATTATGGATTCCCCAACTGGCATTGTGTCAAGGGATCTGGAATAGTACTCAAGGGCAGTGTACTCCAACCTCCTCCCCATCCACAGCCTTGTTGATTCATGCATTTGAATCTACATGTCCTCTCTTTCTGCTGCTGTCGTTTCTTGTGTATGTGTTGTATACATGTGTACGTGTATAAATGTGTACATTTTCATGTGTATGCATATGTGCTCACATATGTCATGGGTGTGCACATGCGTTTGCTGTGTTTGGAGACCAGAAGTTGACATTGGGTGTCTTCTTCAATGGCTCTCTGCCTTCTGTTTTGAGACAGAGTCATCACTGAACTTAGAACTCACTGACCAACCAGCTAGGCCAGTTGGTTATTGAGCTTCAAGGATTTACATGTCTCTGGCTCCTCAGCATCAGGATTAAAGAGGGTCTCTACCATGCCCAGGTTTTTGTAATGTGGGTGGTAGGGATCTTAACTCAATTTTCACTTACATAGCACGTACTTTACCAACTGAGACATCTTAAATTATAATCTGCCCTCCCAAAGACTTGGTGATAAGTTTTAAAGGGCTTCACAACTAAAAGCACCGTGAAGTAAAACTTTGCCTAAGATAGAAGTGTTTTAATGCTGACTTTTCAAATGATAGAGGACCGTATCACAGGTTCGTGTCTGCTGCTGTGTTTGAGCTTGGGTAGGAAACAGTCCATATGAATGCTTTAGTGGGCAGCACTGTGGACCCTCAGATGAGCGGCTAGGACTCACAGAAATGTTTGTTTTAGATGTGTTTTCTCCCCCATTCACCAAAAGGCCGGGTTTCTCACAGGCTGCCTGCTTTGTAAACGTGGCGGCACGGGACTTGGGTAGACAGGCCTTTTGGCAGACGCTCAGATGCTCCTTAAAATGATACAGATTTGTGCTCATTGACAGATACAGAGTCTGACTTGGCTTCTAGGTTTTGATGATGTTGTTTTTATGTGTGTTCTTTTTCTATTTATGACATTGTCAGCTTGAAGGGAGCTGCCTTATCCAGTTAGAAAACCCACCAGTGCTGTGTTCTAAATTTTGTGTTATCTCTAGTGAGAAGCCTCATGACTGGGGTGACATTTTGCTCCTCAGAGGGCAGGAACTCAGGGGACCTTCATTTTGTTAGAAATACTCCTTATCCCTTAAAAAAGTCACTTTTCCAGGCTAGCCTTGAGTGACTGGCAGAGACCATCTGGACCGAGGGATCTTCTGAGACAGAGTTCAGGGAGAAGGGTATCTGGCTCTGATCTTCACTGATAGTTGGTGGCTGGAATATAGCCCATGTCTTCGTATCATCCCGGAGAGCACCTGCTTTTTTTCCCTTCAGCCTTAAGAAGAGACATCAGTTTATTTTGGAAATAAAAGGTCTTGGTCTGAATTTCTCTTAAGTAGCACGATAGCTCTAGCCTGGCGTGATCACATAATAAGCAAGACAGTCCCATGCTGGAATTCTTGGGGGATTTCCTCTGCAAAGCAGACTGAGCTTCCTTGATTGGAAAAGCAGAGACTATAACTGCAAGGAGCAAGTGGTTTCCATCAGGCCTCTGAGAAGTTAGGGGTATAAAGAGCAGCTGGAAAAGAATGCCAGGGTATTTGGAATCGTCTCTTACAACATGCTCTAAATTTTTATTGGGCGTCAATTCAACTTTCAGGATATGTAAAAGAGAGGGAAAAGAGAACAAATCACTGACACTGTCAAGCTGTTTCGAAACATCTGTCCTGTAAAATGGTGGGAACCAAGAATCTCTTTGCAGCTCTGAGGAAAGTCATAGCAGCTAGCTGTCTGCACAGGAGCCACCTTCAGTGACTGCTCGTTTCTGCAAGTTTGTCTTCACTAGAACGCTGAGATGCCCATTCATCTACAGGTTGTCTAAGGTTGCTTTCACTTTAGATGACAGAGCCGAATAGTTGTAAAGGAACATAGGACCCATGGGATTGTAAATATCTGTCCCTTTGTGGAGCAAGCTTAGCTGCTTTGCAGATGCCCAAGCTGAAAGCCAGTAATATCACAAAACATTACGAAGATGAGATACTTATGATTCCAGAAGTCAGTAAGTTGAGACAGAAGAATCATGGGTTTGAGGGGAATCTGGGCTACATAGCAAACCCTGTCTTCAACCACCCACCCACACACCCAACCAACCAAGCAAACAAACAAAAGACAATACTAAAACAAGACCAAGGCATTCAAAATGCACACATGCGTGCTTTTCTTTTCAGAAATGGTGTGGGGTGGTACCCAGGGTCCATACTAAGCAAGTACTCTGCCACTAAGCCAGCCCTGGATATTTATTTTAAAACAACTCTAGTACTATATGAAATGGAATAGTTGTTACTTGTGAGATATATTTTTAAATGGCAGAGAAGGTATAAAAGGTATATTTACTAGTAAGAGATTCAACTG